AGCTGGTTTGCCCTGAAGGGTGTCCTGTATCAGGGTGGGGGTCCTGCTTGGGTGCCTGGCCAGCCTGGGTGAGGGGATGATGGCTGTTTGCAGCTGGTCACACACCCTTTAGGGTGGTGGTCCCCACTAGGGTGCCTGGCCAGTCTGGGTAAGGGGCTGAGAGCTGTTTTCAGGCTGGGGGTGACTGAAGCTCCCAACCGCTTTTTTCCTTTTTTTTAAAATTCTGGGCCAGCTTTAGCTTGAGGCTTGGCTCCAGCTCTTAGGCCTACGCTGCTGAAAGTAGGTTTCTGGCCTTTGCATACAATGTTGCGAATCTGCTGGCTGAAGTCTGGAGGTATTTGTTACAATGTTTGAAACTGCAGGCTCAGAGACCTGCAGCTGCAGGCGGGGAACCTTGAAGCAAGCAAGCAAGGCTCATGTTAGTTTCAAGCTGCCTGGCTGCCGGCTGCCATCTTGGCTGACAGTTAATTTGCATATCTCGCTGATTAGCCAATGAAAAGGGTAGCAGATTACCATGTTTCTCTTTTATTAGTGTAGATAGCCAGTGCTGATAGTGAAACAACCAATCTTATATCAATATGAAACAATGGGATATATCTTAAGGAAATAATTCTATATATAAAAATGCTTTATCCACAATTATGTTTATTATAGTAATAATAATAAACATTGGAAACAAAATACATATAGAACAATAGCAAATTACTGATGTAAACTGTAGTAGCTGACATGGTATACACCTATGATTTTTATTAAGAATCTATATCATAATAAAAGGGTAATATGCTAATTAGACCAGACATCTTCTGGACATCATTCCGGACATCCTTCCTGATGAAGCTGGGGCTGGATGAAGCCGGGTCCCTGGTGCTGAGGGAAGCCAGTATCAGCAGCCAGGGGAAGGAAGGCCTACTCTTGCACGAATTTTCGTGCATCGGGCCTCTAGTATATATATATAAAAGCTTAAATAACTGAACGACTAAATGACCGAACAACTGGTCGACTGGTTGCTATGATGCGCATTGACCACCAGGGGACAGATGCTCAACGCACAGAGATCGGGCTCCCTCATGTCTGGATTGGGCCTGCGGGGATCAGGCCAATGCAGGAGCTCCCCCTTGGTGGTCAGTGTGCTCCCACAGAGTGAACACTGCTCAGCCACAAGCCAGGCTCATGGCTGGTGAGCGCCGTGGCCCGCCTCCATGGCAGCGCTAAGGATGTCCAACTGTGGAGAACAGGCCTAAGCCATCAGTCAGACAGTTCTCGAGGGCTCCTGGACTGCAAAAGGGCACAGGCCGGGCTAAAGGCCACCTGCCCCCTGAGTGCACAAATGTCATGCACCAGGCCTGTCGGGTAATAATATAAATGAAGATATGGAGGAAAGGGAACTCTTGTACACTGTTGCTAGGAATGCAGATTGTGGAAAATAATCTGGAGGGTCCTCAAAAAATTAAAAATGGAACTGACCGATGACCCCGAGATTCCAGTTCTTGGTATATATCTGAAGAAACCTAAAACACTAATTTATAAGAATACATGCAACTTTATATTAATTGTAGCATTATTTATAATAGCCAAGATATGGAAGCAACCCAAGTACCCATTAATAGATGAGTGCATAAAAAAGCTGTGTGGATGAATGGGTTAAAAAAAAAGCTGTGGTACATATATACAATGGAATATTACTCAGCCATAAAAAAATGAAATACCATTTGTGACAGCATAGATGGACCTAGAGGGTATTATGCTAAGTGAAATAAGTCAATCAGGAAAAGACAAATGCCATTATCATTTCACTTATATATGGAATCTAAAGAACAAAATAAACAAAATTGAAACAGAGTTATAGATACAGAGAACAGACTGATAGTTGCTTCCCAAAGGGAATAGGGGTTGGGAGGCTGGATGAAAAGGGGAAAGGATTAAAAAGTACAAATTGGTAATTATGAAATAGTCATGGGGAAGTAAAGTACAACATAAGGAATATATTCAGTAATATTTTAATAACTATATGGTGCAAGGTATGTACTGGAAATATTGGGGGAACACTTTGTAAAGTATATAATTGTCTAACCACTATGCTGCACAACTACTAGTAAAACTAATGCAAAATAACATTGACTGTACTAGTAAACTGTAATTGAAAAATAAAAAAATATAAAGAATATAAAATGATTTATATCATGACTTAAAAAGCAAGACCCTTGCCTGCAGACTGAAGGGTCCTGGGTTCAATTCCAGTCAAGGGCTCAATCCCCAGCCCCAGTCAGGTGCATGCAGGAGGCAACCAATTGATGTATCTCTTATACATCAATGTTTCTCGATCTCTGTCTCTCCCCCTCACTTCCACTCTCTCTAAAAATCAATGGAAAAAATATCCTTGGGTGGGGATTAACAAACAAACAAACAGAAAAGGCAAGACAAAAGTTGTACTGAGTATACTAGCAGTCACTAAAATGTAGGAAACAACATACTAGAAATAAAAACTTGCATGATAAAACTATGGGTAATCTTATCTACTTTCCTAATCTTTTAAAGAGCATATATATATATATTTTTAAAGTGAAAACACACAGCAATGAATGACATTTGCTTTTAGGTGGAAAATTTCCAAAAGAAGAAATTAGGAGAAAGATTTTTTAAAGCAAACTCTACACAGTAGCATGAAGGCAGAGCTGTGGAAAACGAAATCATTACATTTAGCTGTGCAGAGCACATGCTGGGAAACTGTGTTTTGATCTTGATGTTTTAATTGATATTTTTCTATTCACATATTTTTAAGAAAGTGTTGATCATGTATTTTGTAGTGAAATCATAAGCAGAGCACATACAATTTCCTGTCAGTCCATTTTTGCTGGGTTGGTGTCTTCTGATATCTTTCAGAACATCTCAGCAGAAAAAGGTGCTACATGAAAATTCAAGAAGCCTGTGGAAGTCAAATGCACCCTTCTTGGAGGAAACAGCTTTAAGATTGGAATGTAGTTCTCCATGACAACCTTATCAGTGTTTGGAGTCTGCTTATTTCCAGGTGCCATGTTCCAGGAAAGTGTTGCAGCTAAACATATTACCATTTTGCCTCCGCTAGGGGCCTTAGGCTAAGCCAGGATTTGGTCATGTTCACCATTACAATCTCTGCCTATGATATTGAATAAACCTTGCAATAAATGACACAGAAATACCGATAGAGAGATAAAGTGCTAAACCCTTTCAATCTGAGCTTTTTACAGATATTCAAATGGACCTCAACTCTACTCCCCCAAATTCTCCCAAGCCAAATTGCATCTACTCTCCTGAATGCTTTAAGGCTATTATATAAAACTTTAGCAATGTCTACCGAAGTCGGATTACACTAGAGGAAACTCAGTTTTCCTCCCAATGCTGCACTCATCACATCTGCCTCACACAGACTTTCATTTCCCTCAAAGGATGGCCACCTGCCACATACATCACTTCCTACCCATGTCTGTGTGCAAACTAAGATAATACAACTCCAGGTTTTGAATACATGCTTACTTCCTGGTAGACTATTTAAGAGTCTATATTTGCATTGTAGAATCTCTGAATGAACTTGCAGATAACTGTGGGTGGAACCAGAGGATGAAGAGGGAGCAGTCATAGCAAGTTTAAAAAAACTTGCTAGCAAGTATCTGTTCTGTTTGCTTCGGATACCATTCTACTCACAGGTCACAATTCCTCCATTCCCGCATCGTTTGAAGTATTCTCCCCTAGAGTCACTCCATAATTGTCCCTATCTCCGACACTAAGATTTCTTAATACATACCATCTCCTTTAATACACAGGCATATACACGCCCATGAAAACATACCATATTGGTTTTTCAGCAGCTATATTACAAATCGACATTAGCTTTACTTTGCATTCTTCAGGTTTTAATCATCTGATTTGTAGTTATTAGTATTTTCTTCCAACTGAATATTATCTAACTTGTTTTTTCCTTTGCAGATTTTCTTACTGGCAGCTCTATTCTTGGACCAAAAACAGGGACATGGAGAGGGGAGAGCAAGCTCATTTTTTCTATTCTCACCCCTGCTGCAACACACCTCACCAACCCAAGGGCCATCACCCACCAGGCACCATTCATGTCTATTTCTGATACAGCTTTTGTTCTTTCCCAAGAGCCCTGTTAAAATTTATGTTGCATTAGATGTTTTCATGTTGCTCCACTTCTAAGTATCCACCCATTTCCTCCACCTAATTGCTGAAAGCATCAGCCTTCATTTTCTCCCTGTGTTCTTTTCATCAGGACTAGGTCAACTCATACCCCAATAAGACACAGGATTTGGACACATAAAATGAATTGTGTTGCCATCCACCTGACAATGTTCTTATAAAGCAAGTAGACATAAATGTTACAAAGGCTTTAAGTATAACCATTTATTCAAACTCAATGGGACATACTGGCAGTCACTTAACTCATTCAGCAAATATTCACCAAGCAGCTCCTATGTGCCAAGAACTATGAAAAGGGGTAAATTTTCAAGAGTGACAAGAAACGGTGTCTGCCCTCAAGAACTGTGACCTTTATAAACATCCTTTAGAAAATGCCAGCAGATTTTGGTAAGTCATTGAGTAGGTATTAAGGAAAAAATTGATATTAAATATTTTCTGAATTATGTAGTCTAGTGGCACCATGCTTAAAGATTGGTTCTAAAGTCAGAATTAAGGTGATATTGAATTACCCTTTAAGCATTAGAATCTCATCAAGAGCTGTCACATGCTCATACTCTTAAAGGTATGATGCTGCTGAAACAGAGAAGAACAGATGAACAACTCCCTCTCGTGCTCTCACCAGGAGCTACACCCACTCACAGGCAGTCAGAATCTCCTCAGCTACTCAAATTGTTATTTTCGGAACAAAATATTACAGCCTAAATTAAATTTGACTATATTTCAACTTCGCAATAAAAGTGAAGCTCCTGAATTTCTTGGATTGCCCCTTTCCCCTGATAGGGATGTGGTATCATGTATGTCATTAAGAAAGCATTTAGCAGGGGGAGGAGAGTTTAGAAAACCGGTCTTTTGAGGGGAAAAAAAATCAAAGCATATGCTGTCACCCGTGAGCAGTGAGTATAATAGCAAATGCCCTCCAAAGCGTACATACACACACACAAAAATCCAAAACTTACATTTTTAAAGATACTTATTAATTACAGAGATGCACATGGGTAGAAAAGACAGAATTGCGTGGGTTTTGACAATTAAGGGATGTCAAATCTTTTCATACAAAATATATTCAAGTATTTGCTCAACAAAATAGTTAATAAAATCGAGCACCTGTAGGAGCAGTCTCTTCTACTTATAAAAGCCATACCTGTTTTATTATTGGTTTCCATAATTTATCCTCAATTAAAATAGAAGCATGATGTTTAGTGTCTCTGTGTGTGAATTTCTTATAATCAAGTATTATTGGGCAGTGTATTTTGATACTTGCAAATGTGGTTGTTTTTTTCAGTTCTAAAGGAGACAAAAATGGAAACTTTTTCTTAAGTTATACAAACAGAATGTATAGAAAGAGAAGGAAACCAAAACAAAAGGAATGGATGGGAAAGAGGAGGGGAGGGAAATGAAGAGAGTGATGAAAACAACCTGGAGATGCAACGTGGAACAAGACAGGCAGGCTGGGCTGGGAAGAGCAGCCTCTGTAGAATCCGCTAACTCATTAGCAGGTGTCTGTTACGCTGGATGTTAGAATGTCAGTGCAATAGATGCTTTCATTGACTGCCTTTTAAGGAATAAAGTACATTTTGTTTGAAAGTAATCACCTCCCATGTGTAATAATTAAACAACAGGACACTAAGAATTTCTGATCTTGTTTTCTCAAGGTTTTGGCTGCTTCCAGGATATAGCTTGTTCACAAGTGACTAATAAAATTACTTGCACATCAATTTTGATCAAAGCTATAGTATATTTTGGATTTTGATGCACTTGCAAAAATTGCAGTTGAGGGAACATTAATTGGTTTTATGCCTTTTTTAGTATGTATTATTGTGAATAATAAAGACTTGTTTGCAAAGCCAAAGCAAAGCAAGAAACTGTGGTAATTATCAAATCAAGCAACATCACATATTAGCAATTACCTGTTGTACATTGGCAATTTTCAACTAACCTGGACTAACACCTCACTGAAGGCCAGGACGGAGAAACCTCCATATCACAGTCACCCATTAAGGACATGATCTGCTTATAAGATAAGAGACTTAACTGTCTATATATTATTATTTAATATGAATTCTTATAACAAATCCTCTTGGCCTGACCATTTATACAAAGTCTTCTTAGAACAACTTTACCACTTACGACATACTTAAACAGTTTTTACAATTTTCAGAATTACTTTTATGTCCAGTTGAGTGACATACACTTAAACAGGTACAGTGAAAAATGGGAGAAAATATAAACAAATTATAGGCCTGAAAATATGAAGATATCATACATGCACACAAAACTATGATGTATGCTATTAGATTACCAAAACTTGTTTCTTTGGTACCATTCTTGGGAAAATAAAAAGCAGTTGCCCTTTCTCATTTTCAATCAATCCTCTAATTATTAATGAAAAGTACCCAATACTTTCCAGCTACATACTTACTCTGTCCACCTTCAGATTTTTCACTTTCATTCCGAGTTAGAGGGATTTCTCAAATTGGATTTTATTATCAGAAAGTGCATCTGTTCTTCATTTGGTACAATTCTAAAGGTTACATTATTAAATTTTATGTGATCTGAAGAAAATTGCCATATAAATGTCTGACAATTGTGTAAAGGTAAAATCTATATTCTTGGCAGGTATTCTACAAGTCACTCTGACCCTTGAAAATGAAAGTTCTTGGATCTCACTGTAACACTTGCAAATTGCAGATGAACAGGACATTTTTTACTCGTCCATTTGTCCAACATAATGTGTAATGTATAATTCAAATATATTATAGGAGCAGAGGGTGTGCCTCAGAGAAGTGAAATGAATCAATGATCATGAGCTTTGTATTACTCAGTCTCATTATAAGAAATGACTGGCTCAACATTAATTGCTCTTAATATCCCGAAGATGGTACTAATAAGGTGACAATTTCTACATATAATTTTCAGTTAATATTTTTAAGTTCTTCAGGATTTTACAGGTGAAGAAGTTAAAACATTTAATGTTGTCAGTGTTTCCCATGGTGTATACTAACAATGTAAAATGAGGTGGAGAACCGAAGCAGATCTCTGGGTGACTCAGACTGTGGACTAAAGGGTCCTGGTTCCATTCTGGTCAAGGGCACATGCCCGGGTTGCAGGCTCCATCCTCAGTGGGGGGTGTGCAGGAGATAGTCAGTCAACGATTTTTCTCATAGTTGATGTTTCTATCTCTCTCTACCTCTCCCTTCCTATCTGAAATCAATAAAGATATTTTTTCTTTAAAGAAAGGACACAAGGGAGGCATGTACTCTGATTGCCTCACTCTGGGGCTGTAGAGACAGGAGGAAGGAGGAAGGCTCATAGGCTAGCTGAGGGTAATGCTGAGGGCAGAGATGGGGTCTCACCCTGCTTCTAGTTAGGGTTCCAAAAGAAGGCTGCCTTTCAGGCCATCCCCACACTAATGAGGTAGGCAGGATGCCATGTCAGAGAAAAATATGGCAACCCAGTGTACTTGGGCAGAGAGGGAAGTTTGAAACCAGGTCCCCAAACTTGGCTTCTGCACTTAGGTGGTATAGATGGGACCCAAAAGTGCTGATCCCAAGGGTAAGAAGGTGAAAGCACGTGAACTGAGACCCAGTGAGTTTGTCAAAGGGCCACTGTAGCAAATCCTTCCTCGCTCTGGTGAAGGGTGAGACGATTCACAATCCACTCACTAGGCCAGCGGCCATGTAGAGAACAGGGCAGAAACTCAGAGGGGACCATCGTGTGCGAGGTAATGCCAAGTCAGTCAAGGAGAACCGCTGGGCTGGATCAAGCTAAGTGCCAGCGCCAGCAGTTACACAGTGCAGACCTCAGCCACGAATGCCGGCAGCGTGACTGGCCACCTGGCAGACAAGAGACATTGCCACAGAAAACAGAGAAGCCAGACCACAGAATAAGGACACCATCCCCCCAAAGCCACAAGGTCACAAAACCACATCCCTCCACGTGAAACCTAGAAGACCAAGCATCTCCCCTTACATATTTACCCAAAGAGGTTGTTTAAATTTTTGTAACTGGATCAAATTTTACACAGAATGGACTGAAGTCAGCTTTTTCCTGGTCATCCAGCAGGTGGGGCCCTGATGAGACCAGATCCCTAGATCCCTTCCAGATAGTAAAGTGTTATTTCTCTTTCTAGCTTATTGACTTATAACATTGCATAAGTTTAAGGCATACAACATGTTTATTTCATACAATGACGTTTCAGACAAGTGAAAGAACTACATTTTCTCTGCATCTCTAATTTGCAGAATAAGTAAATATGTGACCCCAAAGGTATTACTTCTCTTCTTATAGTCAACATAAAGCTTTTTATTATGTCAAACTGTCATTTCTGAGCACAGGCAGAATAAAGAATATTTTCCATGAGCCTTTCTTGATCTCTGGAGCCAGAAGCAATGCCTCCCTATTCTGAATTTTTATAGCACATCAATTCTCAAAATATGGCCCCTGGACCATAGCATCAGCACCATCTGGGAACTTGTTAGAAATGAAAATTATTAGGCCCCATCCCTTACTGTATCAGAAACTCTGAGGGGTGAGGCCCAGCACTCTGTATTTTTTTTAAATATACATTTTATTGATTTTTTACGGAGAAGAAGGGAGAGGGAATAGAGAGTTAAAAACATGGATGAGAGAGAAACATGGATCAGCTGCCTCTTGCACACCCCCCACTGGGGATGTGCCCGCAACCAAGGTACATGCCCCTGACCGGAATCGAACCTGGGACCCTTGAGTCCGGAGGCCGACGCTCCATCCACTGAGCCAAACCAGTCAGGGCCAGCACTCTGTATTTTAGCAAATCATTTAACAAATATTCTGATCCTTGCTGAAATTTGAGAACCATCGTCATAGCACTTAGTGCCTCCTTTTATGAGATCTACTACACTTCAGCATTGTGGGTTTTAGTTTTACTGTCCTGTGGTGCTCAGGTGTGAATATTCCGTGTCTTCAGACTAACTATACTTTAATCATCCTTGTCCCAGACATCTGTAGACGCCTGTGTCATCCTCAACTCCTTACAGGTTTATCTTCTGGCTCAAGATTCCTCTTGCCAACACTTCTCTGTTCATAACTCATATTGCTTTCAATATCCATATGAATGATCTTTCTCACATCCTGGCCTCTGAATTAACACTATTGCCTCCTTTCTGCTTCCGCTGCTCTCTCTCTGATCATGCCAATGATCTTACCATTGCCAATAATTATAACCCAGAGTATCAGTCTCAAGCAGTGTACTCCCTTACTACCGTCTACCTCCTATCTTTCTAAACACCCTAACTCCAACAACTTTTAATCCCCATCATCTCACTATTCCACCAAATCCACCACTATTACGAAGTAACCTGCCTCTCATATGTCCTGTCTTTCTTTCTTATTCAGTTGGATTAGAGTCAATCATTATAATCACTCCCATGCACTATTTTCAACTCCCTTGCTCTTCTTTCTTTTTGTGTTATTCACCTAGTAAACTCCAACCCTGGTTAAAGCCAGTGTTCAGCTTCCTCTACACCTGCACTGCCAACCGATATTAATAGAGAAAAAAGTAAAATCATGCTGACCAGCCTCATTCTAAATGTATTACTACTGGACCTCTAGGGAGTGTGACAGTCATAATACATTCTCTTAATCCATTCCCCCTCCCACTCCTCTAGATGACTACTTCAGACCTTCTCCTCCCTCCTCAAAGGCCAACAGCTCCTCCCCAATCCTACTCCCACCCTGCTGATCGCCTTGCTTCCTATTCCACTGGGAAAATAG